AAAACACATCATAGTAAAATATATACCTTAGCATCGAAGCTAATAAGTTATACAAATTTTTAAAATAAATATAAATTATAATGTAAAATTTATTTTATTTAAAATTAAAAACAATTCCTGCCTTTTTTAGTCATATTTTTATTACTATTATTTAGAGCACGCAAATAACAAATTAACAAAAACAAATAAATTACCTATTGTAACTACTAAATTATAAATATAGTTTAAAAAAAACTAAAAAAACACGCTTTTAAAGCACATCGAACTAAAAAGTTCAAAATAATTTTTAAAATAAGCGTAAAACAATAATGAATCAAAAGTACTAGTATTATTGTGATAAAAGCGTCGGGCGCTTAATATACGAAAAATATGGCATAAAGCACCCACGCTTTTATCACAATAATACAAGTATTTTTTGTTCATTATTGTTTAAGCTTATTTTAAAAATTATTTATAACTTTTTAGTTCAATGTGCTTTAAAAACGTGTTTTTTAATTTTTTTAAACTATATTTATTCCGTGTTTCTTTAGGAAGTGTTGACACGATACCCACGTGTCCGCGAAGTATGTTATACAAAAATTTTATTAATCCAGTGCGTTTTAGTAACTTTTAATTACTATNTTTTATTAATCCAGTGCGTTTTAGTAACTTTTAATTACTATTTTTATTTTTACTTTTTGTGTATATCGTGTTTTTTTTTTTTAATATACAAAATTTCGTATCGTATTTGTCAATCAAGGCCGCCACTGGGTAGCACCATACACACGCATCCGTCTTTGGTTAACTGTCAGAAATTTTACAAGTGCGACAACCGGTTCTGACGCCATCTAGTGTATACATTTTTCATCGAATAATCCAAACCGTAAATAACGAGTACTCTAGGATATAGCAGCCACACCCATACGCTGTGAGTACGCGCTCTATCAAAAAGTTTTTTTTTAATTTATGTAACAACATCGTTATTGTTAGACTACTACTGTGTCACTTTATCACTGTCCGGAGGAGACTAGCTAATCCGGCCGTCATCGCCGCTAATCATTACCGGCGTTTTAATCATCAACAATCCCTCCAAAATGGAAATCAAAAATGCACCCAACTATACTGATGTACCCATTAACGAAAAACAAAAATGTGTTTCCCAATCGGTTGAAAATTATGGTGAGACGAACGTGTTGTTGCAATGTTTTTTTATTAATTTTCGATAATCTCATAATAGACAATTGAAATAAATATGCTTTTTACTATAATAGGTATAACTTTTCTTTAGAAAAGTCAGATTTATTAAAATTTATCGGTTTTATGATCTTAACTGGTTACCATAGTTTACCAAAAATCAAAAACTATTGGTCAAAAAATGAAGACAAAGAAATAATTTTAGTAAGGAAAACAATGTCGAGGAACAAATTTAAAAATATATAACAAAATTTACATTTATCTGACAATAAAAACCTTGATTTGACCGATAAATTTGCTAAGTTACAACCTTTTTTCAATATATTAAATGAGAAGTTTACTCAGTTCGGAATATTTTCTCATAATCTCTCAATTGATGAAGAAATAGTGCCATATTTCGGTCGGCATTCTTGTAAAATGTTCATCAAAGGAAAACCTGTTAGATTTGGTTTCAAGTTGTGGTGCTTGACATCTGAAAATGGCTATTCGTACAAATTTTTACCGTATGGTTGTGCTAGTACAAAAAGAGTGGATTGTTTACCTTTTGGTTCAGAGGTTGTTTAAAGTTTATTGGAAATAGTAGAACAACCACAACTTCATACAATATTCTTCGATAACTTCTTTACAAGTTATAAATTACTTTTGACGTTGAAAGAAAAACATTTTTTTGCAACCGAGACAGTTCGAGATAATTGAACAGGAAATTGTAATTTGAAATCAATGAAACTAATGGCTAAAAAACTCAAAGGCACTTTTAATTTCACTTTCGACAGTGAGAATGGAATAGGTGCAGTTCGTTGGTGCGACAATGCTGTTGTTACAATGATGTCTAACGTAGACACCATAGAACCCATACATGCTGCTAAACGTTATGATAGGAAACAGAAAAAACCAATAAGTGTACAACAGCCAAGTATGATTTATAATCATAATAAAAATATGGGTGGCGTAGACCTCCATGATAACAGCATTGCAAACTATCGAATAAAAATACGGAGCACAAAATGGTGGTGGTCATTATTTAGCAATGCAGTGGATAGCACGATAGTCAATGCGTGGAAGTTTTACAACTTAGTAAATAAAGAAAAGGTTCCACAGCCTGACTTCTGATCAGAGTTAGTACCAGGTCTATTAAAAGTTGAAACAAGCCACAAAGACAATGATGAAGATGAGCCTCAACATTCTACAACTAGCAACGTCAGTTTAGGTCGGCCTTCAAAAAACAGTCTCCCAGATGCCATTAGAAAAGACGGAATGGATCACATTATTATCAAAGATGATGTTAGAAGATGTCGCCATTGCTCTTATCAAACAATTTACGAGGTCTATAAATTAAGTAATGTGACTGGCAACGTTGCGTTTGATCTAGCAACACTGGAGGCGCTATGCTTGGAAGGGCAACAGAGGAACATGTGATCCGCCTTTAGTACAAGTTTGACCTTGCTCGAGTCATTTGGTTGTGCATAACGATTTTTTTTGTGAAACGGTTTTTTCTATTGACTTCCGATTTCGAGCAACGGTGTGCTATCAGGTTTTGCTTTAGACTTGGATACAGTGCAACGGAAACACTTGCTAAACTTCAGCAGGCTTATGGAGAGAGTGTTTTATCAAAAGCACAGGTTTTTCGGTGGTTTAAGGCATTTTTAGAAGGAAGAGAGTCAATTGAAGATGAACCACGAAGTGGAAGGCCTTCATCTTCAAGAACCGATGAAAATGTCGACAGAATCCGGGATGCAGTATGGAGTAGCATACTTCAACCTCTCTAAGGCCTAAAAAAGCAAAAATGGCAAAGTCGAAGATCAAATGCATGCTGATTTGTTTTTTCGATATCCACGGAATCGTCCACAAAGAGTTTCTACCTCAAGGCCAAACGGTTAATCAACACTTTTACCGAGAGGTTCTTAAATAACTTCGGTAAAGGGTCATTCGTGTATGATTAAACATAAATAACAAGTGGGTGTTGCATCATGATAATGCTCCTTGTCACACAGCGATTTCAATCAATGAGTTTTTGGCTAGTAAAAACATTCCTGTGGCGTCTCAGGCTCCATACTCGGCTGACTTGAGTCCTTGTGATTTTTTTCTCTTCCCAAAGTTGAAAAATCACCATAAGGGAACTCATTTTAAGATAGTTGAAAATATTTAAACAGCTGTAATCGACCAGCTGAATGGTATTTCTGTATCGGAGTTCGAATACTGCTATGAGGCGTGGAAAAAACGTCTACAGCGCTGTGTGGCTTCATAAGGCAGTTATTTTGAAGGTGACATCATAGAATAGTAATTTCATTTTAATAAAAAAATTTTAAAAGATCAGTCTCATTACTTAATTTACAGACCTCGTATTCTTGTAGAAAATTTATTGTGTCTCTTCATCCACACTGCTTTGCTATGTTTCATAATAAATAAATCAACTTATTATACTTATTACTATAATATTTATATTATAATACTATAACATTCATAAATAATAACAAATTAATACATATGTGTTAATACTATTTGTGTACTTAATATTTGAATAGGAATTAAAAAATGTATAAATGTGAAAAATATTCTAGTTATTTACGATTGTATTCACTGTTAACGGTCAACGTTGCGTATGCGCAACATTTTTTTCCAAGGAATTGATCAACAAAAAATTTTTTTGAAAAATAAATTTGTCATTAACTGATCATAAATATCCCAAATTAGTCAAAAAATTTAGGTTTTTTCAACTTTTTATATTATTGGCCGTGAATGGGTTAAAGCTTTTGTATATCTCGATGATATTATTATTTACGCAACAGATCTAAAAGATCACGAAAATAAACTCAGAGAAGTCCTAATCCGGTTGCATAAAAGTAATCTCACCCTGCAACCATCCAAATGTCAGTTTTTACGTAAGGAAGTAATTTATCTAGGACATCTTATCACTGAATCGGAAGTCAAACCAGATCCCTCGAAAATCAGTTGAAAAACAGTAAAAAATAGAAAAAATAAATGTTTTAAGATTATACAAAAGTATATGTTTTTCCATAATTAATAATTTAATAACTATTATTATTTATTTATGAGTAATAACTAAATGTACTAAATAATTATTTTTTTAACTATTTATATTAACATTAATAAAGTTAATTTTTCAGTACATTGTAAAACCTTTGCTTGGAAATATTTCTTCAACTCTGTATAAGGGTGTTATTTTTTTTTCTGAGTCATAGTATCTTCTAACAAAACGAAATTCGTCAAAAGAAGGTCTCACAAGTTGAGGCCTGCCAAACACTAACATGGATTTTACTTTTAAAAATTTTGCATCCAAAAATTGTTTTGCCAAATCTTCAACATCTATCCATGAATGAATATTATCAGATTCCTGTGAAATTTTTAACATATTATAAGTACTTATGTTAAATATATAAATTTGTTTTAATCTAAAGTAAAAGAATATAGTTTTATTATGATTGCTAGTTGTCATAAAAACTAAAAGAAAAAATATTATTTAAATTCAATTGTATTTGTTTGGTTTATCATAGATAAAGAATGAAAGCTGAAAAGTTTTCATTATTAAATTCTTGTAATCTCTTGTAGATTCTGAATATAATGACACGGCCCCGCGTGTATGACTTCGTTATACACGATGCCCCGCGACTCGAGCCACCTTTATCGGCCGTCGCCCTATCTTGAGTATTTGACTGACCAACATTTCGTGCCATACGCCACTGGGCAAAGTTCAACAAGTGCCGAACGGCTGACGACGACCCGCCGCAAACGAGACAGGAGTCTTCTTCCGGTTGTGAAAGTGAGAATGTCAACGAACCGCACCGCCCCCGCGCACCATCACCAACAACGCTGCTAACCTTTTGTCGCCTGAGGATCACACCGGACATTGCGTTGTCGACGCCAGCGAAAGTGCCGCGATATTATGCGAAGATTATTATTATTGTGTTCATCTTTTCAGTTTGTTTTATTATTTTGTTAAAATAACCTGCTGTTGCTCATTAATAAACGGTCCACGGGTCTCTACCCTCAAAACTAGTGTTGACCACATTTTTGCGATGTAAGTTGTGTCAATAAATATAAAAATAAATTAATCTACTTACAGATGTAGCTAGTCATCAATTACTAATTTTTGCTCCCATTCCCTTATAAAATTGTTTTAACTAATTCTTTTTTTTGTAAATTTATGATAAGATTAAACACAAATTATGAAATATAATACCATTATTTACATAAATTGTGGAAATAATATTAATAAAAATTATGAAAACCAATTTTATTTATATAAAATAATTCATGTAAAATATAACATCATCCCAAAAGATTGTACCACTTGGGGCAATCACTTTTTAGCCTTTAGCTAAATGGTTTCTAGTATTTACCCTAAAGTTTTACTAATTGATTTATTTTTTTATAAGTGTAAAATTTAAAGAACACACTTAGATATTTGGTTCAATTTAAATTATTATCTGTGAAATTTAAAATATGATTTTAATAATTACCTCTTTTTTTTAAATGTATGACTATATTCAACTATGATACAAATTTTATTATTAAATATTGTTTAATTCATTAGTTTATTCCACAATAGTTTTATAGGTAATAGATTATCTCGCTTTTGTAATTTCTCATCAAAAACGTTAAAATTTGATCTTTGAAGTTTTTCTAAGTAAGAATTGAGTGGTACAGCTGATAAAAATATGGATTTTATCTTTGTATCTAAATTATTTCGGATAGCTGTAGCCTAAAATAAGTTAAATAATAAATAAAATTTACCTAGAAAAATTATAATCAACTTACCTTAACTAAATGACTATTAGCCCTAGATGCAACTTCAAAAATAGAATCACAAATATTTTTATCACATGACTGTCGAATTATTTTTTCTTGAGATACATTATACTTTAATAATATTTCTTGAGGTAAAGATATATGTCCCCATTTCTTGCTATATGGCAAACTTCTAATCATATTAACGATTCCATGACATTTCCCTAGATGACTAACAGCATGATCAGCATTTACATTCTTAAGACCTATTAATAAGTTTTAATTTTTCTTTAAATTTAAAAATCAATTCTAACACCTAAATGTATTTAATTTAAAAACTTTTTTTTTTTTTGTAAATCAAACCTTATTTACTAAAGGTACTTAGGTTCATATTTATAATGTAATTTTATAAATGAGTTTTGATTAAGCAATTTATTCTTCTACTCCATGTCAGTACATTGATAAAATTTCATAATAGCTCTACTATAAAAGTTAAAAAACTGAAAAAATGATGTAGTTCTAACTATTTAATAGGGATGTGTTATCTCATTCACAAATAGAAGTTATACTAGTAGGCAATTGTTTACTTTCATAATTATCATAATCAACTAAACTAGCTTGTAAATTATTGCTTTACTTTATAATAGATAGCACATTACTAAAAAAAAAAAAAGAAGCGAAGATGTATTAAAGGAATAAATAAAATTTAAAAGGCTAATAATATACTTTGTGATTTATGTTTAACGTCTATAAAAACTATTGAAATTAAAGTGGTATTTTCTTAAGTATAAAAAGACATTAATTAAAATAAAATAAAAATCTTAGTGTTAAAAGTAGATGGTAATTACTAGTTTCATACTTAGTTCATCTTCTATTTACTACTAAATATTGATATAAGTATATTTAATAATACATAAAATTTCTAAAAATCTTTTTTGTAAATTATATAAACTGAAAGTGTATAAGTTGACTAATTATTTGCAACAAACTAGAAATCATCTTGTAATTTTAAAACTCAAACTCATTTATTTATTTAATTTACTATATAATAATTTTTACGGAGATATTATAAATATAATAAAGTAGTTGTATATTTCTTTACTTTTAATGCGTATAAAAATTTAAAGGGCTTGATGAAATACTTTTCAATAAAAAATTTTTGTTACTTATAACAAAGTTATAACATTTATACACTGGACTACAAGGAGCTTTCACCAGAAACAAAAATATACTTTTCTAAATCAACTTTTCGCCATGTTTTCAAATGTGCAATTAGACTTTTTCTATCAATTCTAAGTTTTAATATTATTAAAAAATAAGTAATTACATATAAAAATATAATTAAGAACAAAAAAACATTGACATCAATAAATAGAATTTTATGAGAATTAAAAAAATTGTATTGTTAAGATTAATATGCAGATAGGAAATATTATAATTACTATTTATAGTATATTTACCAGAAAAGCTAAATATTTTTTTGGATTGTAACATAATAAACGCTTAAATAGAAATCATAGTAATCATTTCAACTTAACGTTTAGTATTTAAAGGTTCTACAATTGAAATAAATAAATTGTCTAAATGGAGAACATGGGATAAGTAACTGTTTTATTGATAAATTAGAATTTTTTTTTTCAATTTTTGAGAGTATTATCTTTAACTAGATACAAATTATCAACAACTGTACGTCACTTCCGTCGATTGAAAAAAATTGCAATTTAAACTACTTCAAATTTAAGTAAGTTATTTTTCACTAATTTTCATAAATATTATATAAATCAAATTGATATAGCATAGAAAGTTAAACTTATTTAATTATTTTGCTTTTTTTAAGTCGAGAAAAATAACTTACTTAAATTTGAAGTAGTTTAAATTGCCATTTTTTTCAATCGACGGAAGTGACGTACAGTTGTTGATTCAGTAACAGTTGTGTTTTAAGCGCTTGGGGCACAGGGTTCCAACCCGTGTATGGCAAGGAATATTTTGCATTTTTTTCTTAATTCTTTTTAAGTTAGAATAAATTTTTAATTCATTTGATTTTATTTCATTTAGATTCAATAACTTCAATAAAGATCAAGGATCCCATTACTGTAGTTATCCCTCGTGAGAAGAAATTTCTTATTCATATTAAAATTATTTTACTATATCTGAAGTTTTAATTTTAATGCAAAGCTAAGAAGGTATTTTTTTTGTGACTATCATTTATTTTCTCTGCTCTCTCTTGATCTACTTTTTTTAATGATATGTCAAATGATTATAATTTGTATCTAGTTAAAGATAATACTCTCAAAAATTGAAAAAAAAAATTCTAATTTATCAATAAAACAGTTACTTATCCCATGTTCTCCATTTAGACAATTTATTTATTTCAATTGTAGAACCTTTAAATACTAAACGTTAAGTTGAAATGATTACTATGATTTCTATTTAAGCGTTTATTATGTTACAATCCAAAAAAATATTTAGCTTTTCTGGTAAATATACTATAAATAGTATGTGGCCAGGTAAAGAGTCAAATGTTTACAAAAATATAACAAATGATAGGTAAATATCTAAGGTATCTATAAAAAAACCAATTATATTGATTCGGTTATTTTTAAAAAAATTATGACAGTTTTAAGTAAAAAAAATTTTAAAAATGTCGAAAAATATCAATTTATAAATTTATAATTTTTTGGGGGATTCACCCCGTTTACAGGGAACGAGGGAATTTTTTCAATTTTTGAGGGTAATATCTTCAACTAGATACGATTTGTGATCTTTTGACGTATTGTTCATTAAAATCGGTACAGCAAGAGCTGAGATTGAGTGTTCACAGACACAAAAAAGACACATCATAGTAAAATTAAAATAGCTTCTCAACTTCGCGTAGAAGCTAAAAATTATTTTAAATGATAGAGTTTAATTTTAAGAAATTGGTGAATTATTTAAAAACAAAATGAAAACCTATTTTCTTATTTATATCTTGATTTATTTTTATAAATCATAATAAATAACAAATTTATTATAAGAAAATTTTTTTCTATAAGTAGATTTTAGGGGTAGCTATTAATAATAACATTTTTTTTGTTCGAATATGAGATAACACCAAAAGCTCATGTACATTAAATAAATATAAACAAAATTTTAGCATGAATTGAATTGAACTTAAAAAAAGGTAGCACAGTGAAGTCGACACATAGTTGGTACAAGTATAGATGATATCTGATAGTGATTAAAATTACTATCATAAGAAACCATTTGATGCAAATCTGTAGATAGTGTTTAATTAAAAAAAAATTCGTGAATTTTCCAAAAGTAAAATGAACTCCTATTTTCTTATTTATATCTTGATTACAAATTTTAAGATATATAAGTGTAATATATAATTAAATATTTAATTAATTTGTCCAACTTTGATGGTCATATGTACACAGAAAACAGGTCGTCGGGACTTTTTTTTTTTTTTTAACTTACAGAACGTAACATAAGCTTTAATTTATGATATATTTATAAAAATACAGTATTTTCGAAACATTTTCAAAATTTTAGTTGAATAGTTCTACTTTTTATATGTATATTTAAATTTTGAACACAAAAAAAAGGAAAATACATAGGGCTTCTATATAAAAAAAAATTATTTTAATTTATTCATTTTTGAAAAAGTTATGGCAGTTTTAAGAAAAAAAAGTTTAAAAAATGACAAAAATTACCAATTTATAAAATTGTAACTTTTTTGGGGATTTCCTCTATTATCAGGGAACAAGGGAAAGTTTTTCAATTTTTAAAGGCAATGTTTTTAATTATTAAGGATTTGTGATCTTTTGATGAATCATTGAAATAAATGTCCGATGAGAGCTGAGAAAAATTGGCGAAAAACATAAAAAAAAATATATAGTAAAATTAATATCTTCTCAGCTTCACATCAAATCTAAAATTAATTTGAACACAATTTAAAGACAGTAGGGAAGCTAAACTAGTCTATAACTAAATAAGGAATCCCCATATTCCAACTTTGAATGTATTAAAAAGAACAATTTTAAAGCATTTATATTATAAAAATCTTTTGATAAATCCTATACTACTATATACAATGTATATTATACATTTTTTACAATAATTATGATTTAATTTTTAAATTTAATTTTGTGTCAAAAAATATAACAAAATCCTCAATAGCATTTACACAATTAAACATTTCACCACTAAGTTATAATTCAAAATTAATGATATTTGATTTTAATACAAATTTAGCATAGCTATATTTCTTTACATTTAATGATAAACCATTATAATTAAACCAGAGCAAAAAATTAATAATAGCAAGGCATCATAACATGATTCAATTTTTTTTTATATATATATTTGTATGACACCTGCAAATAAAAGAGGGGGTAAATGGTCTTTTGCAGAAATTAAGATGGTTTGATAGAAAATTGGAGTATTTTACTATTTGAGATCTATTAATTAAAAAAAAAAACCAGGATAACTAAAATAAATAAATTATATAACTTTAATTTATTTTATAATATTAATATTGTGATCTACATTCTCAAACCCTTTTTCAAAGTATGTGAAAATCAAATCAGTTTTAACACAATTTTTTTTTTCAAAAACATAATGTATTTTATGAACATAATTTCATTAATCTCTATTCTTAAAATATACTCACTATAAAACTTTGAAAATTGAATATAAAATTTTTTGAATAAACAATAACTTTTTTTCTTTTTGTTAAAATTATATTGTATAAGATTTAAAGAAACCATTATTAAAATAATTTTTGGCATTAAAAAAGGAAGCTGAAAATAATTTGAAATCACCGGTTAGTATTAATATTGCTTTTAGATGTTTTATCATAATTTCATCTACTTTATTAAAATAATTATAAATTTGTTCATTCAAACCTGAGTTTTTAGTCTCAAAATGTATGTCATTATGATTTGGAAATGTTGATTAATTTATGACAGTCAGTATACAACTATAACAGTGTATACACAAAATACCTTGGGTATTTACCCTAAGTTCAATTTCCCATATAAACCCATTACTATATAGGGTATAACACTCCATACAATTTAACTCATTTAATATTAATATTAGTAACATTGTTATATATTATAATCTATAACATACAGCTATTAATTCTTTTAAAAAAATTGAGGCAACAACAATTGAAAAGTCTATATTATGTCATATTACAAAATTAGATTGTTAGCTAAAAATGAAAAGTTCTAACACAAATTTTTTTTTAAATATTTAATCAAATTAATTACATATTTTTCAAGTCTTCAATAAGTTATTGCATTCATTATAAAACAACTTGAAAAAAAAATTTAATAGTTTAATTAATAATTGTATAATAGTTAAGTTTTTAAAAATAGTCTATTGAAAAATCATTGATTTTGTGTTAAAACCTTTTCATTCACAGACTACAAGATGTAATTTCTGTGACTTATATTCACAAGCTAATATACCACAAAAATTAGTTTTAAATCCAACCAAATATAAATGTTATTTATAAAGATGTTGTCTTGTGTGTATTAAAAAATTACGATTTAATTTTAGCATTTGTTTTTTTTTTTTTTTAATTCATAAATTTGTATTTTCATAGAAACCATAAAAATTTTTTACTTATCTTTGTACTTCTATAAAATTTCTAAATTTAACATAATTATTTCTGAAAATAGCCACAGAGTTTATTTCATTAAACTTTGAAAAAAAAAGTGATTAAAGTAATGAAATGGATGTTTTGTTGATGCCCCAAAGTCTTCAATTAGAATAAATACATACCCATTGCTTCTAATAATAAATAATAAATAGGAGATACAGAATCTTCTGCATACTTTTCTAAGTCTTCCATTGTTTCAAAAGAAGATTTTAACATAAAATTTTCTCTTGCCAAAATCAAACGTTTTAGAAATAATTTGTTAAGTTTTTTATTTTTGACTGCCTATGAAAAATATTATAATAATATAATAATTTTAAAATGGGAGACATTTTATAATATTTAAAAAAAATGTATAATGTTATGAAAATACTGCAAAGAAGATTATTAGTGAAAGTAAGAGTAGAATGTGAGGAAACAAGGAAACTTGGTAATGGGATGAGGACGTTCAAAAAATCATTGAGAGTAAAAAAAAGCAGTTCAAAGTATAGCAAAAGGCCAAAATGAGAAAGATTTGATGGAGTACAAACGGTTATGCAAATAAGCCAAGTGTGCAGTAGTAAGGTGAAGTTTAAGAGGTATGATAGGCTAGAAATAAAGGAAGGTGAAAAAGAAGTCTATAAAATTGCAAAAGTAAGAGAAGAACAGTCTAAATATTATCACAATGTAAGATGTGAAAAAAAGGTGGAAAGAGTATTTTGAAAAATTGCTAAATATTCAAAAGAGACATTGGAGGATATATCATGGATTGAGGGACTGGTAGATTTAATTGGTGAGAAAGAGGTTTGGGGACTGGGACATCAATGAAAAATAATAAAGTAGTAGGACCAGATGAATAGAAATTTAGAAAATATTAGGTGGTGTTGGCGTAAGGTGTTTTAATAAAATCTTGTTAAAATGGAAAATGACAAAACAATGGAGAAATATTATTGTGGTGTCGATATTTATATGCAAAAGAGACATATAAGAGTGTGGAAATTATAGAGGCATAAAACTAATGACTCATAGTATTAAGATTTAGAAAACGGTAATAGACAAAAGATAAGAGGAGAAACTTCAAAGAACCAGTTTGTCTTTTTCCTTAGAAAGTCAAAAATAAAGTCAGTTTTTAGTGCAAGTCAACTAATAGAAAAGTATAGGGAAAAGAAGAAAAAGCTGTGTATGGTATTTATAGATTTGGAGAAAAGTATGATAGAGTACCGAAAAAGGTTTTAAAGTGATCTTTAATTGGAAATGAGTCCAAAAAGGTACTTACTTATTTTCTTTAGTGGTAGATAAAATTACTACAAAAATACAAGGAGAGAAGCACTGGTGCATGTGTTTACTGACAATATAGTATTAATAAGGGAAAATAGGGAGGAAATTAATTAATGGCTAGAATTGTAGAGATCAACTCTTGAAGAAAAGGGCTTAAGAATAAATAGAAGTAATACAGAGTATATAGAATAAGATTTTGACAAAGGAGAACACTAGGTAAAGTGAAGATGTGATAAGAGAGGTGGTGACTTTTAAGTATTTAAGATGAATTGTGCAAAAGAACGCTGGCATTGATTAGGATGTAAGACACCAGATTAAGTGTGGGTGGGTAAAGTTAGGAAAAGCGTCTTGTATGTTATGCGATAAGAGAATTCTGATGATGTTGAAAAGTAAGTTCTATAACACTGTAGTGAGACCAGTTATGATGTATGGATCCGAATATTGGGCGGTTGACAGGAGAATAGAGCAGAAATGAAAATGCTTAGATGGATGAGTGACTAGAGAAGATAAGGAATGAATATATAAAAGGAAGTATAAGTGTAGCTCCAATTGTGGATAAAATGAGAACAAATAGATTTAGATTGTTTGGTCATGTTATATGGAGAAAGGAATCAGAAACTGTTAGAATAGTTATTGAAATGAATGTTGGGGTAAGAAGAAGTAGAGGAAAACCAAAAGAGAGATGGAGAAATGTTATTGAATGCGATATGAGGACAGCTGATGTATGTCTAAATGATGTAGGAAATATGGTCAAGTTTAGGATAAGGGTGAGGAAAAAGAAGATATGTAACCTTAATTAAGTTTTTAAATGTCATTTATGTATTTTTTAATAATATATCAACAAAATACACTTTATACAAAGTGTAGCTTAGTTATAACTAATTAAATTAAATAAATAATTGGTAATAATGTTATTACATACTGAATGAAGCTCAATTAAGACAGGATGTTTGGGGACTTTATTTTCATAAATTTCTGCTAAACTATTTTCCCAAAATTTAAATCGCATTTTTCCAATTTTTAAGTCAGAAATCTGATCTTGTAAAATAGCTACCTCGATGTTAAAAGCTCTAATAGCAATAGCAGTTCTTCTAATCTCTTTAGGTAGCAATATTGTACATAGATAGTTTTCATAATCTCTTTTTCTGAAAATTTACAGTTAAATTAAATTTAATGTATTATTTTTTACTAGCCTATTGAAAATATATTTTGATATCACAACTACCGGAGTAAATCCAAACAATAAGATAATGAATTTTTTTTATGCAAGAATCTTGATATATGGAAGTTATATGACTGACCAATAATCATTAAAAAACTTTGTTGGATCATATTATTATTATATACATACACACACACACACATATATTTATATATTTTAAAATTCAGTTTAATTTAAACAATTAACATTGTAATGTTATAAATAACCATATCCAATCATCAGATATTTAACTACACAAATTCATTTATCACTAGATTAATGATGAGTTAGTTATCTGCACGTGTTGGGGTTTTATCTTTAAGAATACAGTGCGATCGTATTTATTACTCACACTTATTTATAACAATATTAATTATTTTACAAACACAATTAATTTAACAGTTTTAAAATTATTTTCTTATTTTTTATTTCATTTTTTGTTTATTATAATGAATTTTGAATTTATTGATAATTATATTCGCATCATTTTGACAAACGTGAAATTACAAAAATACCGTGCACAGGGAATTTTCCCGCTAATCTCTTGTCGTTGATCAATCAACTACTCAGATCCCATTGTGCTTCTAGATAGAGGGATTTTCTGATTTACGACTCAGTAGTTGGTGACCAAATTTTTTCATCGTGAATTCGAAGTTCGTTCGTTTGATTATTTTTAGATCCTAGTTTCCCAAACTCCAGACGATTAACAACGTACGTAATAGTTAGCTTATCATGCCTTATTAGTAATTCAATCGTATTTGTGATGTTGCCCGAAAATGGTTTGTATAGACGAAGTAGTTGCTTACTTCAAAACACTTAAAAGCTACGAGCGGCTTTGGATGATGTGTAGACTCCAAAGCCACTGTCTTCCAATTGAATTGAGGTATCTTGGTACTTGTTTGGATAATTTATCTAAAAGAGACATTCACGTTTTAAAAAAGTTGGAATTGGAAGCCAATGACCCAGCTAATGTCAGTGAAGTAGCTTGCAAGTGTATCTGTGACAAGACTGTTAGGGCAGCGGTCATCAAGTATTTATCTGTATTAAATGCAAATAGTACTAAATGTTCAGAGATAATTTACAAAGCATTGACTGATGAAAAAGGATTAGAACGTATATTCAAAAGTCCTAAAACGTTTTTCAATGATAAAAACACTTTTGAAGAGCTTATGGTATTGTATACATTAGCTGTAAATCATCCTGCATTCTTATTTGAACAAAAGACACAATTAGATAGTATATTCAATTGTATTAAAAAAGAAAAAGAACGGCAAATTTCTAATAATAAAGACGGTGATAGTGACAGCAAAGAATCATCAAAAAGCTTAGAGGTATACAAAGTTTTAAGTCTTAGTATAAGACCTACAGGTTTGTTACTACAATTTTTATTTAGATAATTTTTTAGGAATTGTCTAATATTTTTTCCTATTGAAATGATGAATTATAGTATCAATTAATATATATTATATAAACAATAAACATAATTGATATATTTCTCTAAATGGCTTTTAAATGATTAATGATCTTCAAATGTATCTGTTAAAATGTAATCTGTACATATTTCATAAATACTTAATCTACATTTTAAATTAATTATTTACTATCTTAAATTTTTGAGCATTGTAGTAAATTTCACGGTTTTCTTTTTAAAAAAAAACCTTTTTTTTATTTTAGTATCTTTTAAATGTTAATTACTTATTTTAGAATGAATTTTGATTGTGGTAAAAACTCTAATTGTCCTTGACAAATATTTTTTATAGTCAAACTAATACTGCAAGATTTACTTTTATATTATTTTAATAAATAAATAGTATGTTTTATGTTTAATATACTTATTTTTTCAGAGTATTAATACCATGATTCCGCCACCTAATTATATGTACCAACAAACTCATGGAGGATCTAATTTTCCACTTAATAGAAACGGTTATATTTATCCACGCCAATGTTAGTATAAATTAATTAACATATTTAACCTTTATTGTCAGATTTTAATTTTATAGATTTCCCGTGTCCTCCAATAAATGTGCCACCAATGCAAGTTTGTCATGATTACCCTCCACCACCTCCACCACCGCCCCCAGCTGTTACAGCCATCAGAGGTCCTCACCAAACAGGTTTTTCAAAATCGCCTAGTCCTGTATCTTGGCCTCCACGTACATTCCAAATAAACAACCCTCGAAGTCAACCGCCTCCAAACAATAGTTCTAAACAAAGACATCCTACACCTCCTAGATTTCGCAGTCCTCCCGATGCTGGTTTCCCATTTACACAGACTTGGAATAGTTGGAACATGTATCAAATGTCACCACAAAATGTGTATACTAATTACAACTATAATCCGGGTGTAGTAAGTTGAAATTTTATCAAATAAAAAATTGTATTATAGAACACATTTTAAATAATTATAAATGATTTTTAAATCATTTATAATGGTGCTAGTAGAGGTATATCCCCTGAATATTGTCTGGAAACTAATAAAATTACATACATAAGATACAACATGAAGGGAGTGAGAAAAGTTTCTTTTATGAAAATTTCCTTCTACAAGACAAAATCCACTATACACTCTTACTCAATGCTGCACTAAACTATTTAATCAATGTAGAAACTGGTGGAAGAGCAGACAAATTATTACTTTTAAGCTGCTTCAAACATTTTATAATTCACAATTGCTTCTTTTTTCTACATAATTTTATTAATAAAATTGAATATCTAAAAAAATTATAAGAAGCTATATAGAAAAAATTAATCACTTGTGGCTGTTATATTACTCAAAATTAAAACAATATTAAAAATATTTCTTTAAAACTAAAAAATATTTAACTTAAAAAGCCACAAAAAAATCATAGATACGTACTTTGAGAACAATGTTACTATTATCAACGCTAAACACAAACTGACACCCCTAAGCATCTTTGTGTATAAGAAGCTATTTTTTAAATCATGGAATTAAAACAAGTTCTTTTACAATACTTTAGAAGAAGTACCACAAGAAGGCTTTACTTAGACACCAATCAATGTCATTTTAGAAACAAATTTTTTAAATTTTAATGATTTTTTTTATCAATATTTTTATTTTTGATGCAAATTATTATAGATTAAAATCTTAAAATGAGTTTTCATTTATTTGTTATGTGGATTTGCATAGTATCATAAGAACATTTGGTTTACTATTATTTTTGCAGATGGCATATTTTTTTAACTAAATAAAAATTGATTAATATACTTATTAAAAATATGATATCTTATATTCTAACAATAATTGTTATTAAGCTAGTATAATTATTTTACTAGTTTAAAAACATGTATATTTTATAAAATTTTAATTCAAACAAGATTCTTTTGATAAGTACAAGTATTTTAAGTGACAAGTAACATTTTCAATATGCAAATGAAAGTTTAAATATTGGTCAAATGTTATCCAACAACATTAACACTTTTACGTGATACATAGATTACAAAATAGATGTTATATAAAAGAAACAATTTAAAAGTGTTCTAATTAGTTGTTAACATAACAATGTTCAAACGTTTAAAAATAAAAAATGTAAGATATTCAAATATTGATTGTAAAATATATTGAAATTTAAAAGTGTTACTTATTAATGTACTACTAAAAATTTTGAATAATCACATATAACTGTGTAATTATTATAAAAAGTAATAATAATAATACCAAAAAATAGTTTTTCTCATAAAATCAAAAACATACATATAATTTATAAATAAAAATCATATTATAATTTAACATATTTAGCATTGATGAAAAGTAATGACTTGTTTTATTTATTTATATATTTTTTAAATAATTGAATAAGTATCATATTTTCGTGTATATTGATACCTATAATGTATTATTTATTCTATAATAAAGTAATATTTGTAGAATNATATTGCAACATGATATTAGATCCAGCAAAAACATTACATATTTAATGTGGATAGAATTATGTATATATATAATAATGACCAAAATATAAATTACTAATACATAGTTTATGATAACTTTAATGACGGTAGATAAGAATATATGTACTTATGGGAAATTCGAGGAACTTGCCTTTATGTTTATTTTAGTCTACGGCATAAACTGTGTAATTTTCGTAATATTAGACAGCTGTCCGGATTAAGCGAAGTCCGGACTAATGAGGTTCTACTGTATTTTCTTTTTTCCTTATTACTCTAAAAGTTATTTATTACACACCCATAAATATATCGCCAGTAACGCTGTGTAAGGATCATTTATTTCATTTTCATTATTATTTGAAATTTTTTAATTTTCATATATTTTTATAAATATTCATTTTATTCTGTAATTATACTTGTAGTATATTATAATATTACATCATTTAAATTTTCATCGGTAATGTAAAATTTTGATTTAAACTGGACTATTCTCTGTAATTGTTACCAAAAAATAAATTTTAATAATATCAGATAGATTTTATGTATGTAGTTTTAAAAAAATCTTTTTTTTTTTTTCGAGATTTGTTATATATTTATTTTTATTAATAAATAAAAATTAAAAAATTTTAGATAAAAGTAAGATTAAAAACATATAATGTGGGGAAACACATATTTGAAAATTTTATAATTACTTAAATATATTTATTTTTTACAGATGCCTCCTTTTTTTCATGAAAATACTACAGGTCGTAATTTTCAAGGTCAAGGAACAAAGAATAAACATGTGGCAACAAGCACTCGACCACCACAAGAACAATTGAAAAATCAAATGCCAAATTCTTTGGTAAATGTTTTAATTTGAGTAGAACTTATCAAAATCAAATAATAATAAGTTTTTTTTATTTTATTTATATAGCCCAATACTACACCAAATAAAAACAATGCATCCACAAAAAATGGTAAACCTTTTTTAAAAAATAATAATTTAACAAATTATAATGAATTTTTATTAGATGGAATACACAGCCAAATGACCTCATCTGACTGTTCAAAATCATCAGATACTAGTCAACCTAGTTCTTATAGAACTGTAAGTTCATCTGTGCCAGATAATGTTCCAATTAGTACTCCTCAGTCACCAATTAAGAGTAATGCCACATATAATAGTCCCAAACCTACCCAGTTTCAAACACCTGTTGCCAAAACATATAATTTAAAAAATATTTCTGAAAACAAAAAAAAACCTGATAATGTTCATCAGACTGTTATAAAATTTTCTCAAACATCACCAAAAAACTTTTCATCTTCTACAAACATTATTACCAGTTCATCTCAAGTGATGCCAAATAATCAAAGGAAAGAACAAACAAAAAATATTGATCTGTCATCACTTTCAACGGTTCTTGAAGATTCAACTACTGAGAATGCTTCTGTCATGAATAGTAACTCAAATGAAAGTCTACAGAAAATTTCTGACAAAATTCAACAAAATACTAGTAAATTATAATATTTACTATTTTACTGTAAACTTAATATTTAGCTATAATTTAAATTTAAACTTAAACTTTATTTAAACTTACTTTAATTAAAAAAATTTTTTTTACCTTTTTACCTACTAAACAGAGATAGGTCATGAAGTTGAAACAAACACCAAAGTATCAGAAGGTAAAGAAGTTCCTGTCAGTGTTTCTATGAAACCATCAAACTCTTCTGCTCTTAGTAATTTTAATTCTAATTTAACTAAGTATTACAAAGGTCGTTCAATTCAGTCTCAGACAAAAAATCTTGGACGTGAAAGTATTTCTGTTAATGCTTATAATAGGTATGTTTTTTACTAAATTAAATGTTTAATTTATGTTAAATAGAGACACATTAATACATAAAACTTATTTAGTAATATACAGGATTGATTTATCATAAACCACTTGATTATTTGCAAAATTAATACAATATTGAAAAAAAAATGTTTGATTTCTTTATAAAATATTCTTTGATTTATCAGCTAATAATGACTTTTTAGAATCATCCCTTATAACTTATTTTCTAAGTTAATTAAATATGTATGTTACTATTTAAAGAAATAAAGTTGATAAATCAAGAATTATATGTAGCTAAAAATAATCTAAAATTATTATTCCATTATTATATAACTTTTACAAGTAATCAAGAGGCTAATGATAAACTTATAACTGTGTATTATATTACATAATATATAGGTGTTCAGTAAGTAAGAAAATAGATTTTTATTGTTTTCATAGTTTATAACAATTTACCTGTTTCCTTACTTATTGAATACTCTGTATGTATATGTTTGTATATATATATATATATAGTGATTCACTTCGATGCAAAGCTAAAATACCATGATGTGATTTTTTTTTTTTTTNGATTCACTTCGATGCAAAGCTAAAATACCATGATGTTTTTTTTTTTTTTTTTTTATGACTGTTGCCACTTTTTCTCAGCTCTCACTTGACCTACTTTTTTCAACAACACGTCAAATTATTACAATTTGTATTTAGTTGAAGATATTACCCTCAAAAATTGAAAAAAAAATTCCTTAATCGAAATAAAAATAGCTTAAACAGCTTTGTCCATAAAAACAATTAAAATCATTCATTTCTAATATTTTTAAAGTATTTATTGTCAAATTAGATTTGATATGATAAAAGTATTCAACTACAAAAATAACTAATTTTAATTTGTAATTTATTAATTTTTTAACTATATTTGTGTGTGCTACTACCAGTCTATAATATTCCAAATTATTTTTTTAACATGTTGCTGTATAAATCATAAATTTAAAAAAAAAATGATTTTTAGTTTCACCTGAATTTTATGGTGGATTTTTACAATTATAACCAAATTTTATAATACGCTCAATTAAGTAGATCTTTTTAAAAACTTTTTTTTCATTTTTTTTTTTTTTTTAGTTAAAGTAAATCATTAAAATTAATTAATTTCTGAATATTTCCATAGTAGAATCTTTTTAAACACTAAAAGTTACTAGGAAATGATTATTATGATTTATATTTAAGTGATCTATTACGATAAAAATGCAAAAAAAAAATAGAGCTATTCTGATAAATCGACTGTAAATAGTAATTATAAAATTTCTTGACTGCATATTAATCTTAACGATTTCATTTTTTTCTATATAATAATGTCAATTTCAAACTTGCAAATTAAGCTAAAAGTTATGGTAATAAATTCATTTTTTTTTTTCATTATAAACGTTCACTTTAAAGGACAAAATAAAAAAGGCTAAAAATTATTACTTTTAACATATTAAGAATCAATATCAATAATAATTTGAAAATATTTCAATATAACAATTATATAGTATATAATTTTGTATTAAATTTTTGAATCTAAGAATTACTAATCTGGATATAATTAAGGAAATAGTTGATGTTGCTTTTGTAATTATCCACCAATTTCTTTGAATTTAACAGTATCTACAGATTTGCATTGAAGCGTTTCTTATAATAGTGATTTTAATCACTGTTAGATTAAATCTATACTGGACCCGACTATGCCGCGTCCCCAACGTGCCGCTATCCCATTTTGCTGAGTTGGGTTTTTTTTATTGATTTATTTTAGTTGAATGTATATATCATAAAAAAAATGCTATGTTTATACTTTATATTTTATAAGGATTTCAAATTTAATTTCTCAAATGACAACATACATAATTAACTAACTTATTTATTAGATTTAATTAATGACTGGTTGATAACAACTCTTGAACCAGTATTACAGAAGTTATTGACATGTTTATATCTAAGTGAGAGAGGAAGAATATGGCCAGTAAATGTCTATAAAAATAGCAGCACCCAGTCATTACTTTAAATTGTTAATAACTTCTGTAATACTGGTTTAAGAGTAGTTAACGACCTGTCATTAACAATATATATTAACTATATATCAAGTATAAATACTTGAAAAATAAAATAGACTAAAGCTGTAAGTAATTATGAGCATAACTTTTAATTAATGAGATTTAATTTTTTCTAGGAAATCGTTAGATACAGCACAACCACCTAATGAACTCCGAAAAGATAATATCAATAAGCAGCATTCTAAAGGAAATTCTAACAATAGTAATCAGCATTATTACACTATGTCCTATGACAATGGAGCTGGAACAAGAACTTATAATGCACAAACATATTATGTTCACCAAGCTCCCACTCCTCAGCCAATATCAGGTTTTCCTTCAATTCCTAGACCTTACTTACCACAGCAGCATGTTATTCAATCTCCAGAGTATCCGCATTTGTATCAGCCTGCAGAGTTTTTATACTACCCATCATCATCACAAACTTTTTATACAACACCTGTATTGATGCAACCACCAGTATTAGCATATCATCCTCCTAAAGTATCATGCTATAATTGTGGTGGACAAAATCATACAGGAGCTGAATGTACTGAATTGACTATGGAAGAAATAACTAGCAAAGGTATAAATAGTATAAATGAACTTATTTTTACATTATATACAAAGTGATCTGTTTATTTTAAACCATTAAATTACTTGCAGAATATAATTTTTAAATAATATTAAATTTTAATGTATTAAAAAATTAATTTTTAATTTTCAGGTTTGTATGAAAATCATTTTGGCACTCCAATGGCTGATGGCAGACATCACAACTGACTTAAATACAAATGTACTGAAGAAATCATTACTCAAATTTTAGCATTAAATAGAATGACTTTAAGTCCATTATAATCCAACAAGATGAGTATTTAATGTTAATTTATTACAGACTTCAAGGATGGTTACAGTTCAAAAACCCTCTCCTTAAATATTAATTTTAATTTAATTTAATGATTTCTCAATTTGTTACCAGTTTTTCATTCACATATAAAACTGTGTAATGTAATTCTTCTATATAAGTATATTTTAATGTTTAACGTTAACTGTACAATAAGAAGTTAATTATAAATTGTTCTATAAAAATATCATATATACTAAAATTATTTCCCAATCTCTTCATTCCAAAAGTATTTTGATTTTTTAATTTACCACTATAATAATATATTAATCTCTTTTGGTATTATTTCTTTATACTTTAACTTATTGAACTGTTTCTGTACCTTTTTCTTGCAGCCTCTTATAATTATATATAAATAAACCAAATAAATACATAAAAATCTTATCATAAATCAAAATGTTTTCAACAAAACAGAAATGATATTTATTTGTATGTATTTAATTAAAATATCTCTTCCAGTGTATTAAATTTTCTGACTATTACATCAATTTATTTTGATTTTATTCTGTTGCTTTCTTTTCTTTTTTATAAATAGTTTTTTTTTTTAATTTAACTTTAAATTTATTTTTAACATAGGGTATTTATTACTCTAAAGTATTTTTTTAAAAACTCATAAATGATTATGCCAAGTATTAATAATACAATGTATGACTTTATGTTTAGTTGAAATATTATTCCTTTAAAAATTTTTTTACATTACTACCTATATTATTATTTTTTTGTACCTAAAATTTTAATATCAAACTTTGTTTGATTTCACATGAGACTATTATTTCTGCACTATTTGTAATTAAAAACATATTTAATTAACTTTATTTATAATATTCTTGAAAAAATATGTTAGACCTGATTGATGCCAAAGTTTAAGTTATGTAGAAATAAGTGAAACCTGATATTTGTTTCTTTAATGGTATTTTGTATCACATTGTTGTTTTCATTTATTTCTGTAATATTTTATTCAATTTTAATAAACAACAAGTACAGGTTTCACACATTTATGAATCTGTATAATAATATTTAGTTTTTCAAGTGAGTTAATGTTTAGGTTTTAAGAGACTAATAGAGGAAATTTATTCTCGTGTGGTTTGAAATAATACTACAAAATATCTAGTCATCAGAGAACTAAATAAGTAAGACAAGTCATGTAAAATACAATTAAATATAGTTTTACTGTTATCGACATTTTTAATCATTGAATCATGTAGAATTATTCTCCTTTTTAATATATTTAGTACGCATATATGCATATCTGTATTTGTTTATTATTTATAATAATAGATCAACTTAATTCTCAAGTAAAAAATGATGGTTTAATGAGTTATTGTTTTTTCATATATTGTGAAAAATACAAAATGCAAATCTACCATTAGCATTATATCATTAGTGGTTTAATTAAATTTCTGAGTAATTTTTTTTTTAGAATCTTCATTTAACATAATTAAATAATCAAAATAGTCAAGTTTTTTAAATTGTGCATTACATGATATTTAAATATCATAATAATATAATATATTATATAAATACATGTTAGTTTTCTTAATAGTTCAAGTGCTATTTTAGACTTGTATTCTGTATTAAATGTCAATTTTTCTAATAAGTAAATCATAAATTTGGTCTTTTATTGTAATGTAAATTTTTTTACTGTTGAGTTAATTTTTAGATATTTTAGATGTAAAGTCAAAGATTAATCATTCTCTATTATTGACAAAATACATTCCTTTTTACATCCCGTCTTTCCAAATAAATTTTATACATGATATTGTATACGTTTACATAGTAAGAAATATTGTAATTTAATCATATTTATATAATAATTTTTATTTAAAAATATATAAAATATCAATTATTGAATAAAGACATTTTATCATAAATGGTTACCTTAACTTAATTAGATCGAAAACTAAATTTTTAAATTAAAATATCAACAAATCTGTGGCGTATGTAGGAGGGAATAACAGCCTTAACCAACAAATTTTAAGGGGCATATCTTAAGAGTAGTTAACTATTTTTCGCGATTATTACTCTATGTGAGACAGTCCAGGCAGCAATAACTAGGACTGATGCGTATATAGCGATCAGTTTAGATATTAAGAATGTTTTGAACTTGATTGACTGACGGCACATGTAAGCTTTGATGGATTAGAAGGTTCCAGATTATCTTTGAATTATTTTTTGAAACATATTGTATTTCAGCAACAAAGTGATGTTGAAGAAGAAGGAAATCGAACGGAGCTGACAAGGTCATTAAATACCAAGCGGTAGGGATGGCGGATCGTAAGAGGTTATGATGTCTGTAAACTTATGTCAAACTTGTATTTGTTTCAAACACGCCCATGGAATACGTTACTTTCAGTACGGTTCCGTCCCAAGTTCTAAAATTTTAATGCTTGAATCATACGCGCAATTTCAACAACATTTTTGGATAATAGGAAGTTAAACGTAATAACCCTTTCCAAATATTTTATTAAAATGCACCTATATGTATAAATCTATAGTAAATTGCAGCCCATAGTTAAATCAATAGAAAGGCAAGACAGTAACACGATCTGTCAAGATAAATGCCTGTCCATCGATACGTTTCACTGCATTTACTCTAAATAAATTTTAACTGCTCAAAATGATTACAGCCGGGCTTATCTATATGTATTTCATCCACTTCATGATTTAATTTATAGCTTATATTTTAAATTGATATAGACTAAGCCAACCAACCACACTTAAGTGAACCCAAAATTGTAGAGGAAATATATAATACATTCTGTAGTTGATATCTAACGAACAAACGCAATAAGTTATGACGCCTAGTTAGAACTTGCTAGTGGCTTGTGCGTACTATAGGGATAGGGAGAATTATATCGATTTATCAGAATATTGATATTTGATGAAAGATATTAATAATTTTCGATGTTATCAATGATATCGTTTAAATATTTGTACACATAATATCAAAAAATATTTTCAATACAAAGTTGTATCCATTATGCTGATGATATTATTCATTTCTTATAGCAAAATATTTATATAAAAATTCGTAAAATTAGTTGCAAGATACAAGGTTACAAGTGAAAATTTCATAGAAAGCTAAATGTAGCATTATATATAGCGATTATATAAATATGACCATGGTTATATACAGATGATTTTTTTAACGCTATATTTTCTACAGGTCCTCTAGACAAAGCTGACTAGACTACATGTGCCATTTTGTAACATGTCCTGTAATGTAGATCAAAATCAAACTCTTGAGGTATTTCACTCATGCAACCTAAGGTCTATGTGTATCTGCCCTTAGATAAATTAAAGCTAGACAATTCGTATATACAGTAAACTATGATTCCAACATCTACCATTTATCTACAGCATACACGATACATCAAAGTTATAACTTACTGGAGTGGTATTTTGCTTCAGCAACTAACAACTTTTTGCTTAAGCAATACACTAATAGATTTATAAACTATTCAATAACAATATCCCATAACTGATTAAACATTTTGTTAAAAATACACATCTTTAATATAATTGCTATTAATATTATTTTTCAAACTATCTAGATTAAATTTTTTTTTTGTGAAACTAATCCGTGAAAAAATCATTATCCTATGATTACCATTTATTTATTTATTTAGTTTTTATACTCTATATACAATAATAGACATTTAAATCATTTTCCTTTTCATCTCATCAGGGTTAAAAAACCTAAGCTTTTCTTTAATGGCAACCCCTATTTTTAATTTGATGATATGATAGAAAAAAAGCAAAACAATTTTGTTCTTATATTTTTTATTTGATAAACCGTTTTTATGTTATTGCTTTATAAATTTTAGCGAATTTGAACCAATCTTCTTTTAATAATTTGATTTAGAGTTTTTTAATCCTAAGAATATTTTCATTTTGAAAATTGTGTAAATCCTTGTAAGTCACCATCTCAATATCAATTCTCATAAACCTCAAAACTTGTTCAACCATTTCTACAAACTGCTCTTTACAAATAATAGCATTATTAAAAGATTATTTCCGAGCTATCATAACTCTATATATTGAAAGCTTGGTGCTTAAATTCTCTTTCTCTGTTTTGCCCCTGGAACACGATCTGAGAAGATAGTCTGAACGCTCTGTTATACACACATTTGAAAATATTCTGCGGATACTGCAGCTGTTTATATTGATTAACATATTGTTTTATTGTTTCATCGGTTATTATAGNAACGGGTAAAGGGGAATCAGGGTTCGATTCCGGAGAGGGAGTCTGAGAAACGGCTACCACATCCAAGGAAAGCAGCAGGCGCGCAACGTGGAGGTAGTGACGTAAAATGACGATACGGGAATCATCCTTTGTAATCGGAATAAATACCCTATATATCTCTTAATGAGAATAAAGCGTATTAATATATAAGTTTTAATAGTAATTAGAATATATATATACATGTAAAGCGACTTAAGTACGAAAACGTATCATGCACGAGGTATAGCTGTGTTTTGTTGGCGGGCGGGGCGCGAGGCATATATGGCGGCAGCGGCGTCGGCTGTAGGGATATATAAATGAATATTAACATATACGTATATATAAATAATAATATATATATGTATATATATATTAATATTAGCGGCGATGGTAAGAATATATAATCTTCGCATAATATCGTGGCACTTTCGTTGGCGTCGACGACGCGATGTCCGGCGTGATCCTCGGGCGTCAAAAGGTTAGCAGCGTTGATGGCGACGGTGCGTGAGTGGAGATCGGTTTATTGACGTTGCCACTTTGACAACAGGAAGAATACTACGGTATCATTAGCGGCGGTACGTCGTCGGCCGTGCGGCACTTGCTGGACTTTGCACCGCGGCGTTTACTCAAAATTATACAGAAAAAAATAGTGTAATCGCCGACTGGTGAGCGGAGTGGGGTGAATGCGTTACGACGGTCTAGTCTCAAGGTCATAGACGACGGCATACGCGACATAATAACACGTGCCGCGTGGAGTTACAAACTTACAAACATACACGTGAAACTAATAGAAGCGTGTTAAAAAGGAACCCAATTGAATTTTAATTGAGAGTCCCTGCAACTCTAGCTTAGTTACTGCTTATAAAATAAATGTGAGGAAATAATATCAATATCATGATAAATTATTATAATCATAGTACATCATTCTCAGAAATTCTATTATAGTTTTTTTCAGAACAAGACGTTTCATTTATTTAAAACTTTTTTTGAAATGATTAATTTTTATTTTCAATTAGAATAACATATTCTGCAGAATGTTTTTCACATAAAACACTTACCCTATACTAAAGTGTGTTTATATAACTCTTACCATTTAAAAGCTCTAATTCCATCTCAAGGCGCATTACAAATAAATTTACTTTTAGATTTACAAATACAGCAATTTTGAGG